CCAAGTCCCCTTAAGCCCTGGAAGGGGCTCCAAGGTCTCCCCAGAACTTTCTCTTCTCCAGGTGAGCACTCCCAGCCCAGCTCCAGAGCAGAGGTGCTCCAGTCCTCAGAGCATCTTTGTGGCCTCTGCTCTAACAGCTCCAAAAAACAACTTTTATAATAAAGACAGAAAAAGGAAAAAATACCTACATTGCTCTCTAACTCAATATTCCCATTGCTCCCTCCAGCACAAACAGTATTTTCCCCTCTTGGACAAAATGGAGAAAATATGAATAAACCCCACCAAATCTCTAAGAAGTGAAGCAGAAAATGAGGAGCCCACAGCTGTGGTTTAGAAGGGATGGTTTGAGTGAGGCAGATTTGGAGCTTTGGGGATTGTGACCCTGCTGTGGAAACCCTCAGCACTTTACAAACCAAATGTGCCACTCCAGAGCTCCCACTCATCCCCCTGGCCTTCAACAACCAATTCTCTCCCAAAAGCCAGCTGCAGCCCAAACCCTGAATTACCAAAGCAATCACCAATCTTCAGCCCTCACCCTTTGACATCTCTCACCAATTCTCTATGAGCTTGCAGGAAATCATTTCAAACAGCTCCCTCAAGAAAATAAGTTTCAAGCTTTAGTTTTTTCCATCCCAAGCCATCCCTGCACTATTTCATAGCTCTGATAATTATACCACTGACTAAACCTCCAACTGGGAATAGCTGTTTTTATCATCACTATTAAAAACAGTCCCTCACACTGTTAGGAATCTGGAAATTCACTGGAGCTGCATCCCACCCTTCGGCCTCTCAAAACACTCCAGAGCAATGAAAGTATGTGCTGAAACCAGAGGATCCCTGTGCTGAGCAGCTCCTGCCATTTCTGGGAACTGCAACTGCTTCCTCAGTGAACCATGGAGGTTTGGTTATTGATTTTAGCAGGGCAAGTGGCACCAGAGCTCTGAAAGTCAAAATTTTCCATATTGGACTGGGAAAGTTTAGTTACTTTTAGAAATGCAGCAGTGATGTGCATGCTAAAAAGCTCCTCACGTTCACCTAGTTTTGTAGGTTTTTATGCATTTTTAAAAATTAAAAAGATCATCTGCAGTTTTCCTTTCCTAAAAGCACATTATCTTGGTTTTTACACCCTGGCCAGAGGAGTGACTGACAGCTCTCAGGGAAGCAGCAAGATGCAGAAAAACAAGAGTTGAAAGAAAAGTGGATTTAAAAAACAGCTTTTAATTATCTGAAGGTACAGTTGCCAAGCAGACAGCAAAGAGGCTGTGCATCATTTACAGATGGGAAAATTCCCCCAGGTTGATTTCACAGCCAATTACAGTGGATTAACCTATTAGGAAGAATGAAATAGATATATATTTTTTGGTGGATGCAAGTTTCAACAGCTTGAAAAATCATTGCCACTGGTACTGTGATACATAGGATCAGCAAACTGTTTTATCACACTTCAAGTCATCACCATCCATTAACACACCCTAGAAAAAAAACCTCACCCTCTTTTTTAATGCATCTTTTGTCATTATTTCCTTCTCAGAGAACAGCATCTCTCTTGGCTCCCCGCTTTGGGTATCACTTCATACATCAATATTTCTTTTATTGCTGTTAAAGAGAAACATCTAACACCTTCAAGCTGTTTTATACACACCTTTGCACACACATCTATTATTATACCTGCCAGATGCCACTGCATAAGGTATTTGTCAAACAGAAAAGCACCAAAGCACTGATTTTCAGCTTCCAGGATCCCTCTGCTAAATCCTGGGTGTGCCTACTTTTGTTTGGTATCAAGTTCCTCCTGCTGGCTCCACTGCAAGAACAAACTACAGGGATAGTTAAGTTTTTCCCCACCACCAAAAACATCTGTTCCTTTTCTGAGTTCTCCAGACTTCCTTCCCTTTGACTGTATCACAAAGCCTCTCTTTTCAGCAAGGCTGCCTTCCTGGTAGTCCATCACCATTATCTTCTTGTTCTCTGCACAGCAGCTTGAATCACTGGGTCCTGCAGAGCTCCCAGTCCTTTCAGCTCAAGGCCAGGATCTGAATTCAAGCATCATGATTTACAGAGAGGGTTGTTAAACTCCTTCCCTGACTCTTTTTTTACCACTTCACAGTTTCCTGTCCTGGGCGGCAACCAAACTGCTACAAGAAATGCCATTTTCTGTTAAATGTCTTCAATTCCTGTGACACTGAGCATTTAAAACAATTATGTTCCTTCCAAATCTTGTACTATAACAGCTTTTACCCACAAAGTGCAGAGATGAGCAGAAATTGCTTTAGCACCAAGGAGTGTGAGTTGGTTATTTGCTGCATCTCACAGCATTTCTTGTTAACATTCAGCCTTGGCACAACCCACCAGCACAATGTCACCCCTCAAAACCCCACTGTTCAACCTAAAGGCACTGCTTTTTTTAATCTTTTTTTTTATTTTAAGGGTGCATCAGCTGCTCACTGCAAGTGGGAATGCTTCATTTAGCACACACACACTTGTTAAACTGCTCACAGCATGCAAATAAAACACTGCATTGTGCAAAAGTCATTCAGTCTCCCCATCCGTAGATATGAGCAATGGAACCGAGGCCAGGAAAGAGAAACTTGGAACAACTTGCAAATATTTCAGTCCCTTATTCCCAGTATTCACATCCCAGGCTGAAGCCCACAGCCCTGTCATGCTGAGGGGTGACCATGTTTAAGAATCTGCCCTGTGCAGGGGGTGGGAAAAGGAGCATTATCTGTCTTGCCCCTGGACTGCACCCTGTTATTTGTAGTTATTACTGCAAACTGCCTTTTTTTCCAGACAATGGTTGTGTTATTGTAGGTACCTTCATGCCTTGCCAAAGCACATACACACAGCAATTCAGAACAATCAGCCTTGTTTTCATGGGAGCAAAGGTTGCAGCCAAATGAAATGGGTGGAGATCACATTAAACAATCTTGGAATCTGCTAATAGGATATAGGAAAATGTGACCATAATGCAGATGCGGAGTTCCCCTTTCACCTTCCAATGTTATGGATAAAATAAAAGCTTTGGAAAACCAATTAAACTGTTTGAACAACATTAAGCAAGTCAAAGTATTCTCAGGGTGCTTACAAGACCACTGAGAGCTTCTTTAAAATTAAAAGAAAGCAGTGCCCTTTCAAAGCTCTGAAACCAGAGAGCATTTCCCCACCCCAGAAACAATGATCCTTTCCACCACCTGTTTTAAAGATATAGGAAACCTGCAAGTCCTCTGCTTCTCCATGGTGAAGAGAAGCTCATCAAGACAATTGTGCCTGTCTCAGGGACAAATTCAGCCCCTCCTCTAAGTGGGGAATTGCACACTGAGGCACCTTGGTTGGTCAGCTGTAACCTGCATTCCCCTTGTTTGCTTTTGAGATGTGCATTAGTCAGCTTTCTCCTCCACAAACCTGATTGTGCCTCTGCATGATCGTGCACTGAAGTCATGTCCTTGAGAGTGTGACATCAGTCTGTTGCCATGGCAATGCACAGGGCAGTCCAAAATTCAGTATTATGGCATCACTGCAGGATCAGACAGCAGAACAAGCCAACGCCTGAGAGCTGGTTAATGCAGCACGAACAGCCACGACATTTCAAGCGAAATGTTAAAGTGGAACTGCACTTCAGCACAATATTCTTCATAAATATGCCTGGAAGCCTCAAGAAAGACAATCCAGAAGGTCACTGAATTGGAGAAACAGGCAAACCATCATGCATCACTAAAAAGAAGGGCAATATGTTTCCAAGGATGGCCACCAAGTATGAGGAAAGCTCAGCTCAGCTCTCTGAATAGAAACCACCATCTGTTCCTAAGGCAACACCAGAGCTGCCTAAAGACATCATCATCCACAGAGAAACAGGCATGGTCCCTCAGCACCCCAAACCAAGTGTCAGCTTGCACCCAGCTTTTCTGGAAATCAGAGGCTGGAGGATCACAGCACTGTCAGCCCTCTCAAAGGGACAGCATTACATAAGACACAGTTCTTCAATTCCAAGCTTTGAAGCAAAGATCAGCACACCATTAACTCAACCTGTAACAAAGCTATGGAGTTAAAAAAGGGTGGTGGTACCTTCCAAGAGTTGTTATTCCATGTAGGGTTAGACATTACACTTCTGTAGGTTCCTTACACACTCAGGAGAATGGCATTTCTGAAGAGCAAAAGGGAAGGAAAAAGGAAATTAGTGACACAGTAAAGGTATTAACAACCACTACCCAGCTCCTGAAACCCAAAGGTATTAACAACCACTACCCAGCTCCTAAAGCCCAAAAGATCCAGTTTGCCCAGTCAAAGGGCACAGGGGAACAACAATCCATGCATTGCTGATGTGGAGAACTACCAATTCAAGACTTCCAGTGCTGACTGATCAAGTACACCCCAAAACCAGCCCAGTGGCTGGGCAGAAGCCAACTTGGCACCACGAGAGCACAGATAGCAGAGAGGAGGGACAGCCAAGCCCCAGAAACTACACTGGGCCCTTTCTTTACCTGTTCCTCTGTTCCCATCAAGCACACATGTTTTGGGGTCGGGGTGTGGATTCCAGTGGCTGTGGTGACACCCGGATCCCCCAAGCCCCTGGAGTGCCAGGGCTGCTGCACATCAGCTTCCACGTAACGCGGCCGCTCCCCGCACGCCTGGCTGGTTTCATTTCTCCTCCTTCCGCTTTCCCTTATTAATCCACACCTCCCCAACAGCTCAGACAACACTTCCTCCTGCAGAGCTGACCTCCAGCCCTGCCATAACCCCAGGTGCACCCACAGTTTCTTCACACTGCCATTAACGAGGCACATTTCATGTTCTGCACACGGATGCAGCCCTCACCCACTCGGAACCCCTCCGCCCATGTCCCTGGCTGTAATTACCCCATCCCTCCTTATCTAACACCCAGCACAAGCCTCGGGGCTGGGAACCTCTGTTTGTTTGGCTCTGCAGTGTCACACACCCCAGTGGTGTTGTATAAATAAATTCCACAACCTGTTTGAGCCTGAGCTCGATGGAGACTTGAATTCTCCCCGTTTCCAAGCGCCTGCTGCAAATACCTTCGCTCGCTTACGCAATCGGCCACCAAGGCAGCTCCAGGGCCAAACACCACGACAGCCAACTGCTCCCACAGGCCACAACTGCACAGAAAACAACTTAAATCCCTCTGCTTTTAAATACAAATTGCAGATTATAAAGGGATGAGACAGGCAGAAGCAGACAGCTCTCGGAAATGCGCCTCTGCCTGTCACCTGAAGGACAAGCTCCCTGTGCCGGTGTCACCTCTTGGCCACCACAGGACCCAGGCTTTGCCACAAGCCTCAACACTCAGCAGGTTACCCAGCCACAAGTCTGAAGTACCAGGGAGGATGAGATTCTGGAAGCAATTTTGAGCCAAATGGATTTCAGAGTAAAATAAAGCCAGCAGGCTTCATCTCCATGGAGCTGCTGCAACACAACATAGGCTGAGCAAGCCACTCAGGGCAGAGGTCTTTCCTATTAAGTACCTAGTAAATTCAGATTAAAGTCACACAACTTTTCCCCCTCCCTCATATAAAAATCAGATGCTATCCAGCCTGAGGAATCAATCCAGCTTCTGCAATAAGGAAAACCTGCTCACAGCTACATGACACCACACACAATCCATGGGATTGGGGCCCTTCAGGTACTCATTAAAAACTTTTTCCCTAGAAAAGTCTCCAGTAACAATTTGTCTTCCACTCATTTTCTGCAGTGAAGATGGATGGTGACTAAGTACTGGATATAGAAGCACATGAGAAGTCCCAGTGCAGCCAGGCCAGGCCATAAACACACCAGTGTAATGCCATGGACATTCCCCAAGTGCCCACCTGCTCCCATGTGCTGATTCCAACATCCCAGGGGCCAACAAACCCCTGAGCCAAACACCAGGAAGAGAGGAAGGAGGCACTGAGGCCTCCTTGGCCAATGCCATTAAAAGGCAAACAGAAGCCAGAGAAGAGCCAAGGCTGGGTGAATGTGATGGTGTTCACAGGTGGAGGAATTCTGCTCACTCTTAGGAAGAAGCTGGGCTTTGCTGATGCTTCCTGACTTACCCAGCTGAACCTCCTGTTCAGAGGTGAGTCCCTTCCCACCTGGATTACCCTGGGAGCAGCTTGAAAGTTATCACAGTCCATTTTTTGGCTTATTTCCCCTACAAAGTCAAGGCACCCAACCTCTTCAAAAGGCAGCGTGGCACTTGTGCTCCCACGTGAGACTCACATCCTAAAACTTTCTCCTAAACAAACCACGAGCAAAGAGCACTGGGAGTCAACATCCCCAGCAGGTGGGGGCCAGGCAGCCCTGCCAGGTAACACTCCAGGCCTGAACCTCATTTTATTTTGGCAATACCCAATCCAACCTGCCAGCCTCCTGTCCCTGCAACATCCGTGGCTAGAAAGGGATGCAGGAGTCTGATCAGCTACAGACTCTCAGGAAAAATGTATTTTCCCCAAGACAAATAAAGAAATACCACTTTTAAAAAGGAACATGATGCAGTTCCTCTCATTAAATAAGTCACACTGTCCCAACACGGATCCACTACATGGACCCACTACAGTACACAATGCACAGGTTGGTTTGCAAAGCATATTTGGGCTTTTCCCTCTGAAAGCCACCCTAAAAATGTAAGACTCAATTAAAGAGGCCTTGTACTCTGTTCCTTTGAAATGCACCACCACTTCACCTTATTTATTTCCCAGATCTTAGTGCTGCAGTTGGATCTACACCACCAACCCTATCAGCCAAGTTACCACCGACACAACCAAACCTCAACTTAAAAAACTATTAACTTTCACAAAGTATATATATCATTTTCTTTCTCAAAACATTTAACCTGCTAACAAATACCTGCCTTAGTGCATTACCATCCTCCCATTGTCCTGGAGTGAGTTAGCAGGCTTGCAGCAAAACACAGGGAGAGCCAAGCACGCTCTGCCCCTGGCCAAGAACAGACCCCCTTTGGGGCAGTGACACTTGAGGTCAATTTAATGGGAAAACAAACTACTTTTCCATTCAAGTCCAAAGCAGAGACAAAGAATTTTATGTGGCTCACATTGCACACTCAGCTGTCTTTTTAGGAAAGGATCAGATTTAATGGTTCTGTGGCAGTCCAGAAAAAATGAGCCTGAAGAGAGTTTAAGGTTTGGCCGGTTCTGCACTGTGCAAAGTCCAGGCACTTGTCTGGGGTGATCTTGTGGCCTTAAAAAATTACCTTAAAGGCATCATCATCATCAACAGCAGCTCCAGGTGTTTTGTGAGGCCCTGGCACAGGGTGCCCAGAGAAGCTGGGGCTGCCCCTGGATCCCTGGAAGTGTCCAAAGCCAGGTTGGACAGGGTTGGAACAGCCTGGGATAGTGGGAGGTGTCCCTGCCCATGGGAGGGGGTTGGAACAAGATGGACTTGAAGGTCTCTCCCAACCCAAACATTCTGGGATTTTATGATTTCCCAGGGTTCAGCCTGGAGTACAAATTCACTTTGACCCCATTTCAAAGAGAGGCAAAATCTCTCTCCCAAGCTCTGCCTGATACTTCTCTTGTGCATCACATGGGCTGCATTTAACACCATTTCCACACCAGAGAAGCAAAATGAGGCAAAGCTTCAATGTGACCACCCTCACCACAGGGACTCGTATTCTGAAGCAGCAGAGATGTGCTCAGGCCCTTTCACTTGACTATTTCAGGGCCTAATGCAGACAGAGAAGTTAATTAACATGTATTGCTCTGGAAAGGAATATAATCCAAACCTTCACTGGTTTATATCTAAACCCTCTGAGACATCCAACGTCAAAGCTGAACAGATCTTCACCTGGCAAACATTTGGAGAGCCTTCAATTGAAGCTTCCAGGTATGGGAATGCAGTATTTTAGGATCTTTTTGCTACATCCACTGGGGACACACCTCTAACACAAAGCCCAGAGAATCATCATGACAGCTGCAAAAACAACTTTGTCCTGGCTAACATTCACATAACGAAATTACAGATTCACTCCAGGGAAAAAGGAAAAAGCACTTAAGTTTTGTTTAGATTGAAGTGCTGCGAGCCACGCCACTTATCTGCTATCAGAGCAGATTGCAGGGCTGCTCCAGTGACTATTCTGTAATGAAGTAACTGGAATTGGAAGGTATGCAATTAGTCCTATCTCCTCCTCCTCTGCCACCTCCCCATCGAGAAGAAAAGCAGCACAGACGTTATCACCTCTCCCTGGAGCTCTGCTCCCCTCATCACTTAAAATACCCACAAAGCAAAGTAGGGCTGTCACTTACAAGCTGCTAACAAGGCTGGCTTGGCCCGGACTGGCAGCAAAGGTGAATTCTCAGCATCTCCCCAGGAGAAAGTTCCAGGGTTACCTCATGGGATGCTTTCTCAGGTACCCACACACACACATATATATATTAAGCTTAACATGCTTGCATTTAGCTATTTTAGTAAAAGCAAACCACTTTTTATTTGGAGAATAAAAAAAGCACTGCTGTTCCAAGTAGCTGTAGGTTAAAGCATCTCTCACTAATCCTCCTGGGCATGAGCACTGGGAAGGGAATAGATTAAACTCAGGACACAGGTATCACTTGCTGGCACTCTGGGTAGTTTTACTGACTCCA